GAGGCATTATAGTGGAGGGAGTAAGAAAGGGAAGAAAGAGTGTGGAATTTGGGCGCTAAGAATATTCTATAATTTGCTCGGTTCAATGATTGTGATGAGCTAAATTTTTAAGATAAGACAAATGAAGACCAGTATTCCTCATCCCCACGCTTGGCCTTGTGCCACATTTTTTATTATTATTTTTACAGAAGTAAATATTGTGGGCTGACGATTACGTTTAGTTTGAAATAGACTGTCCCGTCTAGGTGTTGACTTCAATGCCCATTTTAATATTTACATACGCTGTATTCTTGATATTGAGCACCTTAACCCATAAATATAGCATACCTAAAAACTATATTTTATCATATATATATATATATATATATATATATATATATATATATATATATATATAGGGTATCCTAATATAATGTTTACACTTTTGGAATCGTTATAACGTATTCAATTTATGTATTTTGAATTGTAAATAAGATTAATACAAGAGAAAGAATACACATTTAAAGAATTTGAGTGTAAAATATACAAAAAACATAGAAAATTAAATTTAATAAGATAAAGGCTACTTGGTGCAATGGCAGAATGTTCATATAATGATGAGTTCACATCAAGTGCTCAAACTGGTTGCCGTTCTGTTCAATACACTTTTCATATCTTGAAGAAATAGACCTACAGATGTCCAGTATCATTCCTTCTGGTATTTAAGCATATTTTCTTCAGTTGCTACTCTCATTTCAGCAATTGTTTCAGGTTTCCAGCTGTAAACGTTGTCTTTTAGAAACCACCCACAAAACGAAATGCAAGGGTGTGAAATCTGGTGATTAGGTGTTCCACTGTCCCTCTCCTTCCAATCCATCTGTTTTGCATATTTTCATCCACATGAATTCTCACATCACGGTAATGTATTATTAACTATTAATAATTAAAGAGTGTATACATTATATATATATATATATATATATATATATATATATATATATATATATATATATATATGCGCAGTATTTAGCGGAAAATGCTCAATATCAGTGATAGACCTAACATATTCATCGTGAAACCCAGGGTGACAAACTAATATCCATACAACAGAATATATATATATATATATATATATATATATATATATATATATATATATATATATATATATAAATTATAGATAACTAGACTCGTTTTGAAAAACCTCGAATTTTGATTTGCTAATAATCAAATCAATCTCGAGGAAAAAAAAAGGTTTAAAAAAGAAAGAGCTACAAACATGAACTTGTCGACAAAAAAATCGCACAGCTGCAGGTCTGAAGCCCAAAGAAAACCCTGATAGGAGTAAACAACTAACTAACAAAAGAGCTCAATACAACTGTAGAGTAGACCTAGATATTTAGTGAGTTAGACAATGGTTTGGGTTTCATTAAACGGATCGTCAGGGAAAGTAAGGCTTACTTTCCCTGACGATCCTTTTTAGGTGAAAAGGTAGGTTTGTCTGGCTCACTAGGTGTATCTATCTATCTATCTATCTATCTATATATATATATATATATATATATATATATATATATATATATATATAAGCATTACTCTTCAAGCATGAATCGAGTTCTCCGAGCCTCTGGCGTATTTCGTATAGAGAAAAACATTAAAATCTCCATCCTTTCTGCAGTGCGACGATGGCCTAGGGGTAAGATATCTGACTTTCGGCTTGAAGCAATCGGACATCTAGCCACACTGAGGAGCCGTGATACAGGGAAGCAGTCTGTTGTGGATGACTATATATATATATATATATATATATATATATATATATATATATATAGTTTTTCCTTTAAATCGAAATCAAAACCTAAATAGGAAATCGCGATATATAGTGCTCCTCATACAAGTAATGAACAATTTCTTTCCTACATTGAATTTCAGTTCTTGAATTTATCTCAACTTTAGGCAAACGAACCACAAATGCTATCAATGTTCGGGACATATGTGCTTAAACGGCTTGCCTAGTAACATCCCCGAGAAGAAAGAATTAAAAAAAGATAAAGAAGAAAAATGTAAAAGGCAACACACGTCTTGCAACGATTCCCGTGAGTGGACATGTCGCTACACTGTGTGTCGTCAAATCAAAATGCCGCTCTGTGCCGGCTGTTTTCCTAGATTAGACTCCAGCTTGTCCTCTGCCGATTCGATGCTGGAATTATGGGATTTTCGAGCCATGGCTGACTTGACGGGAAGAAGGAGACAAACCAGCAAATAGTAAACGAGAAACAAATGTTAAACGTTTTATTGAGTTACCACGTATGGTACAAATCGAAAACGCCATGGGTCCGAATAAAAACAACACGTTTGGAACATCAGATCAGAAATGTGTAGACTTATTTTTTTATTTTAAATATTTCCTTGACTTTTATTTTGTGTTTTCTGCTTTCTGTTTTAGAAATTGTCTTTATTATTGTGCTTTTAATATTTTTAAAAATTTCATAGGAATTTTACTGAAGAATATTTCGTTCTCTTTGCGATCTCTTTGGGACAAAATACGCAAATTGTATTTTGACCTTATGTTTGCAGTTATATATATTCAGAATTTGCTTTTTATTTTCTCATTTCTTTCTCTGATTTTCTTCTCTTTGTACAAGTCTCGTATTTTGCATTTCTTATCAATCTTTCTTCGGCTATTTCTCGGTTTTATTCTTCTGGTCTGTCAAACTTTCCCCATTGCTTGCGTAACAATATATCTTCTGGGTCTAAATTTCTTTGATGAGGAGTTATTATTTTCACTAATTATGTTCGGACTTTTGCCAGCTACAAAGATGAGGACAATAGTTCAAATAGGGTAAGTAAATACAGGGTGTCCCTAAAGTTCGTGTGCACTTTAAAAAAATTATAACTATTTGTATTTGCGATAAAAATAATTTGAAGTAAACCTATATTTTTTAAGGTTTTATTGAAATTTTATTTAAGTTTCCACATGTTTTCCATCATTAGCAATACAAAGGTTAATACGATTTTGCAGTTGACGGAAAATATTTGCCAACTGAATTACAGTAATGCCTGAAATCACATTAGTTATTTTAGCTATACTTAAAACTAGGTACATTAAACTTTATAACATTTTTTACAGATTATTTCTATCGCAAATAATTTTTTTTAAATGCACATGATCTTTACGGACACCCTGTATATTTCCTCGTGTCAATTTTAATTCTTTCTTTTTATTCCGTACAAAATTTATTGGTTCATTCCTTCTGTTTTGCCTTCTTTCTTGCTTTCTTTTTTCCTTTTCTTTGTTAAATTTGACCATTCATTCTTTCTTTCCTTCTATCTTTCTTTTCGTACTAAATGTATTCATTCACTCCTTCTGAATTTCCTTCTTGCTTTCTTTCTTTCCCTTTCTTTGTTAATTTTGATTCTTGTTTCTTATTTTCTTTTTGCATGGAATTTATTCGTTCCTTGTGTCTTTCTTTCTTTTTTGGTTTCTTTCCTTCTATCTTTCCTTCTTTTTTCTTTTCTTTAAATTTCTACATCCTTTGTCTGTTTTTTCTTTCTTTTTTGGGGGGGGTGGTGAGCTAGTTTTTTTTTCTCTTTTCTTTACCGCTTCAATTTTTGTGCCATTTTATCCTTTCTTACTTCTCGTTTTTGTTTTTCCTTCATGTTAGTTACTTTCTTTCTTTCTCATTTTTCTTTCTTTCTTTCTTTCCTTCTTCTTTCCTTATGGCTTCACTTGCAATTATAATTGTGTTGTTACGCTTATTTTTTTTGTCAGATTCCCGCCAGAATTCACTGTTCATTTTCGCTATTTTTAAAGAACTTCTTGCTTCACTCCCTATTTTTAACAGGCTTCCTTTTCACTTACACTGACACATTTTGGTATTTACCACACACACACACAAATCATGCACATATACATACATACTTACAAGCATATATATACATACAGATAGATTATTTTAAAGTTGACAAAATATGCTTCTGAAATTCATAATGAAATTGTCGTATTCAAAATGTTTGTATCCTATACACTGCTTAGTTTAACCAACGTTTTTATCCACTGGACCATGTGTCAAAAGAAATAAAAAAAATGACTTGACCCCAAAGAGTTGTGAGTTCAATACCTGGCCACAGCGGAGGACAACAAAAACATGAATTGTTGAGTTACTAAAGAGAATTAAATGAAAATTGAGATATAAAAAAATGCATGGCACGTGGAATTAGACTAATCTACCCACGTGGATTAAATAAAGGTATCGGTTAATCTAAATCTGTTTTGAGATTTATTGTTTCAACTGCCATGGTTTTGTTGATTAGTTTAATCAATTTTGCCATTTCAGTTTTATCAGACTTAGTTTTCCGCCCAAAGTCCCCCATTTTAAATAGCTTTGGTATTGACTTCACGTCTTATTGTTATTCCCCATTATACACTATTTCTTCTGCTTCTATCGTAGTAGATACCAACGTATTAATCCTATTTTTTGATATGACCTTTCCTATTCTACAACGTTTGGGATTTAGTCCTGAGTCTTACCTGAAAATGAGATTATCTTTTATTATTAGGAAATAAGAAAATTTAAGATTAAAGAGGTTGCGCCAAGGGGAGTTTCGCACAATACCGCAAGTTGCCTCAAAACATAAGCAATGACATAAAATCTCGCCTAACGTTCTTTATTAGGTTCGTCTGATCGAGATGTTCATATGGATATCATGTATGACGGCAAACTAGTTCAGAGATATCTAAACTTTCAGCTGTATACGAAAGCTTTCTCAGATCAATCGTTAAAAATGGCTTCAAGAACTTTGCCAGATGGCAAATGCCACATCAATTGAGTACAACAGCTACAATGGAGAGCACATATAACTCAAAGAATAAAAAAATGCCATAATCAGTAAGGTGAGGTTCCACACTACTTGAACAAAATATACAGGAAACCCCATCACTACAGGAAAGAGCAAATACATTTACTGGACTTGTTTGGTTTGGTTTGCTTTATGGCATATCAACCTCAATGGGTTATTTAATGCCGACAATAATTTTATTGCCGCTAATATTTTTATCTATCTATCTATCTATCTATCTATCTATCTATCTATCTATCTATCTAAGTATATATTGGTTTAGTTTGGTTTGTTTTATGGCATATCATCCTCAATGGGTTATTTAATGCCGACAAGATTTTTATTGCTGCTAATAATTTTTCCAAAAAAGTATTGCTGGTAATACTTTTACCTTCAAAAATGTATTGCTGGTAATAATTATTTACAAAAATGTATTTCTGGTAATATTTTTTCTTTTAAAACATTTATTGCTGGTATTAAAACATATTTCAACACTTTCATAGCATTTTGACCCCACTTTGGAGGTTAACTATTTGCACATAGTTGGGATCCTCACAGGTGCTACCACCCCGGGTCAGAGTGGACTCGGGAAGAGAAGCGATTAAAAGATGGTTCCACGCTCATCAGAGGCATTGCTGGCGGATGTAGTTTATCATTTTACCCTTTCTTTTTATAGATACAAATATTTAAGTAAATGCTCTGTTTGTAATAAACAGTATTAATGACATTTACCGGCCTGAATGTCCGAGAAATTTTCATAGAAAATATGCGTCATCTAACAGGAATCGAACCTGTATCCTATACGGCACTGTCATATAGCCTGATGTGCTTTTCCTATTTAGCCACAGAGGTGCATTTAGGTCAACAAGGACGCATAATTCCTATGAAAATTTCTTGGATATTCAATCTGGTAAATTTCATTAATACTGTTTATTATAAACAGAGCATTTAAATATTTGTAACTATGAAAAGAACGTATAAATATAAAGAATGTCTTAATATATATGTGTGTGTGTAGATTTCAATATAAGTACAGTCCGACCACCTGATGATTGCGCGAGAACACATGAAACATATACTTGTGGCTGGGATATATATATATATATATATATATATATATATATATATATATATATATATATATGTATATATTCGAGTCACGGTGAAGTAATGGGTGGTGGCTTGGATTGAGGAATCGGAGAGCCGAGTTAGATTTCCAGTCGAACCCATTACATTCACTTACTAATACCCTTGGCAAATGTGTGAATCCTTTTCTTCTCTCTCCAGCTATGGGTAAATAGCAGGACAGACTATAGCCTTGATTGGCAACTAGTCTAGGAGAAGAACAACTCTGAATTAAAAACCTGCGGAGTGTCGTTTGAGGACGCTGTGGCGCGTAGTGCACCAAGTTCCTTCAAAAGTGTGGATGATTCTGCACAAAACCTTCACCACTATAATCAAATCTCATGTGCTGGTGTCAGGCTGTCAGTTTCCTAGGAACTGGTCTGCTTGACCCTCATACGTCCAATCTGACAGGAGAGTCGAGTATATATATATATATATATATATATATATATATATATATATATATATATATATATATATATGATGAACGCACTGATAGATTTGATGAAGAGGAAGAGGATTCTGCTGCTGCCGTTGACGAGGATTAGTCAAACCTAACTGATGACAAGGATGACTTTGAAGATGGAGATGGGAATGAGGATGTGTCTCCTGTAGTCATTAGGAGAATATTTGGTGACTCCCAAACTAAAGTGGTAAGACAAAAAAGTATCATTCCATGATTATCTGGATAAATAAACTTAAGGCTGAACCTCCTTACATTGCTTCATTATCAGATCAACACGTTAATGTTATTTTTGAGACCACATTAGTAGTGCCCAAGTGGCCAAACAGTACACAGACGGCCGAAAGAGGAATAAAAGCGATGAATTAAGCTTGCACTGAAGGACAGGATACAAAACGATAGATAGATGTATGAGACAAAGTTGATCTTCTAGGAAAATGATGCCGACGGGCCGCACAGAAAAAAAGATTTCACTATCAATTTGTAATATTTTAATATGATGTACCTCTTAAATAATGTTGGAATTAAATTGATGTCACCGATGTAGAATTTATTATTATCCTGTCAAATAATAAATGACACCTATTTTTGTGGTGTACAATAAAAGTTGACAAAATATCGATCGCGATGTTGCAAGGAAAGTGGGTAAAAAACCACTCATAAAGATTTCGTCATGGTGTAATGTTTGTCCTGCCATATGAATTACTAAGTAGTGAGATTCTCACTAAGTGCTCCATACTTTCAACCTTGGGCCACATCTAATTATTTGCTTAGTAAATGACTATCCTCGAACATTCGAGGTGAAGCAATCGTTAGAAAACTTGTCCTGCTAGATCAATTACAACTGAATAGTGAGTTCGATCCTCTCAAGGTGCATCACTCATTCAGCCTTATACGTTTTTTAATCTATGCTTAAAGAAACATTAGAGGACTTCAATTTGATGTGACTATTTATATGTGTGTACATGGGTATATATTTGTGTGTATGTGGGTACACGCCTATGTGTATATACGTGTATATGTTATTGCGTATGTGGGTATTCGCATGTGTTTTTGAACATAAAAATATAGGTCCTTGCTGGATTAGATAATCGTTATATTTATTTTTATGTTTATATTTGATTTGTAACCTGTAGTCGATATTAAATTTGTCAAATTTTCTCAATTACAAAGCGGCCCTTTAAGTAAACGCAATTTCCCTTTCCTTCGCCCTATCACTCTCCCCCACCTCGTCTCACCCCTTCTTATTCTAACATTAAATTGTCTATGGTGTGTGTATGTCACCACGAAATGTATCTTTATACATCCGACAACATTCATTTTTCTTTTACTTAAACCCCTTCCACCCACCTCTCCTAAAATTCTCTCTGTTAAGGTTTAATCTCCCTCCCCTCATACTTACACTCTCTCTAAATACTGTTTTTATTTCCGGAGTTGTTTTTTTCTGTTTTCCTTTTGAATTTGTAGGTCTTATGAATTGGATCGTATTTACGATTCCAATGGAATAAATTATGACCATGGAATATTAGTGTTTAAGCCTTATTATTATTATTATCATTATTATTATTATTATATATATATATATATATATATATATATATATATATATATATTTTTATTTTAAGACATTTTTATTTTAACATTCTTTTATAGATACAAATATTTAAGTAAATGCTCTGTTTATTATAAACAGTATTAAATAACATTTACCGGCCTAGATGTACGAGAAATTTTCATAGAAATTATTCGTCCTCCGACAGGATTCGAACCTCTATGATATACGGAACCGTCATAAAGCCTGACGTGCTTTTACCGATTTCGCCACAGAGGAACGATCGGTTAGCAAGGTCGAATTTACTTTTTAAACTTCAATCATCCATGAATCTCACGCGAATTCTTGTCTGCTCATGGCGTATCAAAATAATAGTCGGACTTTGTCCATTTTATATATATATATATATATATATATATATATATATATATATATATATATATATATATATATATATATATATTTTTAAAGTTTTTTTTAAATATAACTTTGTATGGTTTATTTTTTAAAAATATAATTTGATTATCTTTAACATTCAATATGAATGATTAATTTTATCTTTAATTATATTATTCTTTAATATAATTATATTAATTATACTCTTATCTAAATTTAATCTAAATTTTCTAAATATGATTTTTAATAATTTTAATATATCTCATTTTTAAGTAGAATTTTTTATTTTTTAACTAGGAACCTAACATTTTTTATATAATTAATTTACATATAAAACTCCCTTTTCGACCCTCTTTTTGTTTCAGTTTCACACCTCATTCCTCATATAATCCCAATTTAAAGTCATATGGTTAATATCGGGGTTCATTTTCTAAAACTTCTTCCCTTTAAAGCTAATATATTCACCATCCCCTTACCACCGACTCAGGTATTTCGTCTGACTGAAACGTCGAAATGGATGAATTCTGTATCAAATTTTCGACTGCTGTCAAAGTTTAATTTCTAAATCCGACACGAATAGAGTTTAAACACCGATGTTGGTTAAGACTAATGTACTTCTCGTTGGTTGAAATAGATTTATACACACGCCCTATATAATATTTGGATTTTGTTGTGTAATATATATATATATATATATATATATATATATATATATATATATATACAGGATGTTTCAAAAAATTTGATATCACTTCGCAATCTAATAACTTTGTTAGATCTCCTTCAAATGACTTCAAATTTTAATAGCATCTTTATGTTTAATGTTTGTTTTTATGTTTTTATGTCTTTATGTTTTTGTGATTTTCTTATTTGTATTTTTTATTTCTTTAATCTTTAATCTTTTTTCTTTCCAGGTATAAAAATGCCGTGTCTCAGGCGGTGCACATATTGAACTTTTGTGAAATCGTTCACATAATCCACATGCTTTTGAATTTCTCATTCAGATTTGGAAGAATAAATCTTATGATCTTCAACGTTAATACTTTTTAATTTCATTTGCCTTAATCATGTACTTTCTGTGATATTTACATCGCAAAGGATATCAAATTTTTTGAAACACCCTGTATATTGAACATTGAAGTCAAAACTCAGAAGCGACAGACTGCTTCATGTTGAACGCAATCGTCAGGCCGTAAATGCTAATTTTTCCTCGACTATATATATATATATACATATGGATCAAAGTTTGTCATATATCAGAGATGGTTCTGAGATTGTGGTAATCTATTCTAGTGCCATGTGTTGGCACAGTTTGGGATCCAGTGACAGACCCAAAGAAGGTGAGTTCAAGACTGGTTAAGGCAGTGGAGAACTTTCAGAGGGAAAATTACAGGAGATAACTGATAACTGATATCCATCAAACATGGGACGTGGGGCAGGCAACGAAATAAAGGGTTCAGTTCTGAAATTTTGGAATATCAATTAAAACGTTGTGACAAATATGCCGACAAAGATGAGGGACAATAGTCCGACTAATGTAAATACATCAGGGTAATCTATTCTTTGAACTGCAGAATAGATTACCCTTGTCAACATATTTAAATTTTATTTTTTTAAAAACACAATTAATTATACAGTATTTCTTTTGAACTGCAACTAGTCAACATTTAAATTTTATTTTTTACCAATTTTAAGCATGATTCTAAGATGGCGTCCATTCACTTCTATACA